TGAGATTCAACCTCATCATCATCTCAGAGATATTTAAAAGTATGCACTACTCCCGAAAGATAGGGGGATGGGAAAAACTGAGAACATCAAACAATGGTATGACCTAGAGAACAGCTGCGAAGAGCAGAGAATGTTAAAGTGCTGAGTCAAACATGTGTAGAGAAAACCAGCAACACAAAATCACCCAGAACAAGTGCTGGTGGCATGGTTAGTAGGCTTTAGCAAATCTATTTTAAGAAAGGAGGAAGAAAGAAAGGCAAAAGACAAAGCAACCAATGCTCAAGACTGGAGAAAACACTACAGTCATTTATTGACCACAAGAGGGGAGGAGATAGTGTGTTAAACAAAGGCTACAAAGGGAATCTGTAAAGGAAGCTAACCTGATCCCTACAATGTTACTAAAGAGCATATTAGTCTTAACTTCATTAAGATGAGAAGAAATTGCAGATCTTGATAAATGAACAGCTATGCTAAATCAAGCCAAATGCCTATCTTACATTCTGTTCTCAGTGACAGTGTAGATGTTTACGTATAGCCCACAAGTAGGAAATTATAAAAGCTGTCTCCTCATGTTCTCAACAACTGATATTGACAGACATACTGCCTCATAACAGATGTGTATGCAACCATAAAATGGTTAGTAGCCATTAACAGCCTAAACCAGAAGCAAGAAATCTAGAGATCAGTCCTCTTTTTCTGGTCTTCAGGTTTCTCTCTGATGACTGCTGAAAACTGAAGGCATAGTTTTCTTCTTTTCCAAAATGGAAAATAATGTACTAAAAACATATGTATTTGTTTATAAAAACTTCCAAAACCCACCCAACCTACACCTGTATTGTGGTCCCACCCACTCTGAGCCTTCAGCCCACTCCAAATGTTTAAGCAAGGTCCCTGATCAACAAAAGACCATCTACCCCAGGCTTAGTTCATCAGTATGTATAACATTCATAAACTTCCTAGCCAAATAAGCCATTATCCCAAAATTCTCGACTTCAGGACTTGTAGAATAGACACATTAATGTTTTCACAAAAAGGGAAACAGCCTCTATTCAAAAGGATGTCAATTCTAAAATCTTCAGTATGAAGCTATGATCCTGTTAATCTGCCAACAAGTTCAATCACCTAAAAGCATCCAAAATATCTTTCAGCTTATAAATAAATAACTTACTTAATAGCAAGAGATATTGTCCTACTTAAAATATGAAGGAAGAGGGCGCCTCCTCAGAATACATTCCAAGGAAGTTTCAGCCAAGGAAACAGAATAAAAACATTGGTTCTCAAGGTCTGAATCCACACCAGAGAACTGAAATGGAAGCATATCTAGAAGCCATATATTACTGAAAGAACATTCAACAACTGCCAAGCATATAGGAAAGGCCCTTCTCCTATGTTATTCCCATGCTATTGAATATACATTCTTGGGAGCTGTGGCCAGATCATACTTTCTACCTTCAGGAGAAGAGTCAAGGCTTTTCTTTTTAGCCAACTCTTTTCAATTAAAGTCCCCTTCAAGTCAAACTCAACTCCTGGTAATTTCATGGACATGTTTATGCTGTTTTCTTGGCAACAGTAAAAAAAGGGGCTTACCACTGCCTTCTAGGACTCCCTAATCTAGTCTACAACCCTGGTATTAAAGTCTGCTTCTAGTGAGTTTAACTAATTTTGAAATTTTAAGTGTTTATTTTGTACTGTTAGTCACCTTGAACATCCTCTGTTCCTCTGGGCAAAGCAATAGAACACAAATAGCAAAATAAATAATAAAACCTCAATAAATTTCTCAGGATTTCTTTAAAAAACTGTTTTCTCTCTGCCTTTCAGCAAAAAGAGGTTCTTTAAAACAGCTGTGAAGCACATAATGTTCAGTCAGATTTCTTAGTTCAAGTCCCATTATCTCTTGGTAAGGTTGGAAAGAAGTCCTAGCAATCAAAACAGACAATTCCCAGCTAGCTAGACTTACAACCGTTTTACCTAAAGGCAAAGCCTCAGATTTCTAAACAAGAAAAGACAGATTGAAAGGTCTGTCAGAAGTTCCTCGATTATAAACAGAGAGCTACTTTACCCCAAACCTATCACTGTATTAAAAGAACTGCATGGCCTACTTCTACACATCATAACTTAACTCCTCCAGATCTATGGGACGAAGGGCAGCTGTCTAAGGAGCCTTAAAAACCTTGACTTGTCAAGTCTCAGCTTCCACACTACACAACCCAACTGACCCTCTCATAGTCTTTTGCATCTTTGCCAGATGTTTATCCACAAACTTTTGCAGTGTGAATACCGAATACCAGAATGGGACACCCAACACACTTAGGAACTCTCAGGAAAGTAACTCCTTGTATAGCCCCAGCCTACTCATGATTACTCTCTTTTGTGCAGGCCTCCAAAAGATGCCAGCTTCGAGTCACACAGAGATCGTGGGAACACACAGACTTCGTCACCTACCTCTTCCCGCCTCTTCTGCCAACGGCCGCAAGGCGATTCCTCCAATATCTCGGACTCGTCCTCGGACTCGTCCTCTTCTTCCTCCTCTTCCTCCTCCTCTTGGGCTGCCGCCGCTAGCGGCGGCGAAAGTGAAGTCATGCCGGACCCCGCAGACGCTGCCTCAGGTTTCGGGTCGGAGCCGATATTGCTGGATACTTGCTTGGTGTCGCCCTCGGACATCGCCGCAACGGAGGAGGCGACCTACACGTTGGAAGACAAGAGACTTCTCTCAACAGGAGGGCAGGCGGGGCGGAGGCCGTTCGTGACGCAGCACTAGGACGACGCGCTTCCGCCAGAGTTACGCAGGCCCGTCCCTCCGCGCGGGCCAAACGGGGGGACCCGGCCTCTCACGCTCCACCAACCCAGCGCGACAAGGCCTCGGCACACACACGGCCATCACCCCGGCGACGGGGGACCGCACTCCCCTGCCACAACAACACGGCAGCCAAAAACTAGAACTCACCGGGCGCAGCTGAGAGCCCGAAGCCAACTAGCAGACGACAAGCCGCGCTGCGACGGAGGCACACCAGGGACGATAGAGGCAGGGTTTAGTCGAGCCAATAAGAACGCGACGTGCGCGTCAAGTCGCCTTTGGATTGGACAGAGTGCTGTAAGGCAGCCCCCGTGGCTGTTCTCATTCACTCCAGCCGTCCGCCGAGCTCCAGCGGGACAAGGCGACAGGGCGGGTCCTTTACGACCGCAGAAGAAGGGGCAAGATATACCTGCGCACGTTGATGTTCGAGTGCACAGCGCTTGCGCGACCCAGAACTAGCCAATGTAGAGCTGTCCCGTGTTTCCAGCAGTCTGCGTAGCCAGTGGGAGAAAGTATTCTTCCCGATCGCTGCGTGAGGCGAAGGGAGAATTCGGCAGCGGCTTGGCTCTTCTCAGATTCGTCACTGAAACGCCGCTGATCGCACACGTGGCTAGAAAACCTCCCTCTGATCCTGTAGAAATTCTGAATCAGGAGGAAGCAACTCTCGATAGTTTTGAACATTGATACTGTAGTAGATCAGAAGACTTCTGCACGAATTAACAGCTGGCTCATACATAGCGTGAACATAGTCATAGTATGCTGAATCATAGTTTACTAACTAAATCACAGTCTTGCTGGGGTTGGACGAAAAATGTGTTCCATAGTTCAACTGTGTATGCTATGGGAAGTCCTTTTCATCAGCCCTGGATTTGCCACCAACCAGCCTATTATATAAAAATATTATTTTCCCCATATCAAATATTTTATATGTATGATGTTCTGCCACTGCTCACTCCCAGTCATTTTCTTTATAAACTAAAAATACTCAAATGAAGTATCATTTCCTCAAGGCAGGTTTTTATTTATTCTTCTCATCATGCCTTTCATTCAGTTCAGGGCAGTGTACGTAATGCTCTCTCCTCCAATTTTCCCCAACAATATCCTTGTGAGGTAGGATGGTCTGAGATAGTGTATATGGCCTAAAGTCACCCAGTGAGTTTCCATAGCTGACTGTAGACTTGAACTTGGGTCTCTGGATCTAGTCCAACACCTTAACCACTTTATTTCCCTTAAAGTCGCTGTCAATTCCTAGCGACTACATAGACAAATTTTATCCACGACTACCTTAACCACTACAGCACATTTTATTACCCTAACTACAATATCCTTTTTGAAGTATGGTGGATACAATTGTACACACTGTTCTAATATACGTGCACATAGATTTGTGTAAAGGTATATATTGGCTCTTTGATTTTCAGTTCCAAATGATTTTGAGCACAGAGTATGTTTTCCTTCAAATTATATTTATTGCCTTAAAATAATTCATTATTAGTTAGTGAATGTGACTGTATAATTTTCATGCATCTTAACTGCCATTTCCCTAATTTGGGGAATCCTTCGTTTTTTTCCCCTTCTCTTTTTGGCCAACAACTCCCTTGGCCAAACAACTCTCTTCAGGGTTGTGGGCAAGCTTGGCCACCTTACTGCTAAACATCCTTAATTTCAGATTGGTCTTGTCGGGACAGAATCCTGAGAGGGCACTCATTTCTTCATCCTCCTTTCTCCTTTCTAAGGAGATTCCGAAACCCGGCCAAGTATCAGTTGCGATCTCTGGGCAAGAGTCAGTTTCGAGTGTCTGTAATGGCTGTTGAGCAATCTGGACAAATTACCGTTTTGATATTAGACTGTGCCTCCTACTCCCCCTGCTAGAGCTGATGGAAGTAGTTCTGTATTCGGTACTGTGGGCTTGCGTAGGAGACGCAGTACTACAGAGAGGAATATAAGCCATTTCAGTAAATGGAAATAAAATACCTTCAGGCCTTCCCCTTAGTTGCTCGGCAACCAGTGGTACGCAATCTCGCTCCTCCTCCCTCAAACTCTATGGTTTTTTAAAATCCCGTCCGGTTTTCTCCCCTCCCACTCCCCATTCATCCCCTTCTGTCCAGCGATGGCTCTCAGTTTCCCTCACCCTCTCTAGCAATCGCTCTGCTCGGAAACGTCTCTCTTTTTTTCTTCGTATCATTCATCGGCCTCATATCCGGTTCCCGTGATTCCTCGGCGGGGACTCTATGGTGTCTGTTTCCGGTCCCCAATCGCCTTCCCTCTGTCGTTTGCCTTCTGTCTTTGCCGCTCTTCCTTCTCCGGCTCGGCGGGGCCCGTGCCTGCCTGCCATGGGTGCCTACCTGTCGCAGCCCAGCACGGCCAAGAGCTCTGGGGATGGTGTCGGAATTGGGCCGCGCCCGCTGCACTTCGGCTACAGCGCCATGCAGGGCTGGCGGGTCTCCATGGAGGTGAGGGCGGGACGGACTGAGGGCGGGAGAACGGTGTCTTGCTGGGTGATTCTGCCCTACGGGAGGCCCTAGCCTCGCCTGTTATGGCGGCTTTCATTGGGAAAAGCGTTCTGGTTATTCTTTACCTCGGCAGAACTAAAGGCTAGGGACTCCGCGTGGGCCCCCCTGTCATGGAGTCCCTACAGCTGCGGAGCTGTTAATAGTCCGGCGCCTCAGTGGCACTGGCAGGCTGCGAGGACCGTTGAGCTTGTTTATCTGCTTACTTTCTTGGCCCCTTCTTACATTGCTGGGAATTTCCAGAGCTTGGTCCGCTGCGCAGTAGTCGCTGTTTCCCCTTTACCGATCCTTCTTTTTTTCAGGATGCTCACAACTGCATTCCCGATCTAGACAGTGAGACTGCAATGTTCTCTGTCTACGATGGTCACGGAGGTAAGGGTTGCCCAGGAATAAAGTGTCCACTAGTTTAAGGGCATCTGTTGGGACCAGACACTTTTGGGATACGTGGCTATCTTGCAGGCTCTTACACACACAGCTTGAGGAGGTTCATTGTTAGTAACTCTTTTTATTCTTATGCAGGCGCTTCCAAATTAAAACTGACCAGGGGGAGCAGTTATTATTACAACATTATCTTTTTAAGAAGTCTTGATGGTCTGCCTGATTATCCTCTGTGGATTTTATAGAATTGTGGATTTGTCAATTCCAGAAGCAATCCCAACTCCTATGTGCCCAATAAATGGTTCTTTGGGTTACTGTATTTCAGTATTACCCCATTTGTTCAGCTTTGGAATGCTGAAGCATATTTTCTCTGAAACAAATGTGAGGTTACTTGTGGGATGAAACAAGGGACTGTGAGTTTCTAACTTGGTCTCTTTGCTTAGGAGAAGAGGTAGCCCTGTATTGTGCCAAATACCTGCCAGAGATCATCAAAGATCAGAAAGCATATAAGGAGGGGAAACTACAAAAGGTAAGACAGAAAGGCTATCTCCCAAGACTATAGAACAGTGTGCTTCTAATAGTTTTCTCCTAGATGCTTGGTTGCTGCAACCATTTTTTTCCATTTATAGTCTACACTGAGCTGAGTGGGTATTTAATGCTCACTATTGGATTTTGGAATATTTCAGGGTGGGAGAGTCAAGGGAAGAAAGAATTAACACAACTTTCTTTTGTTGCTATTCTGGGACTAGCCAACAGAAATTCTAGCTTTTAAATTTGCTTTAGGTATGTTACTCCTTTTTCTTCCAATTTAAGCAAAGTAGCGCAGCTAACTTCTATGACCAGATCTTGTTTCATGATTCCCTTCCATCTTTCCCCAGTGTTTGTCATCTTGATCCTTTTAAGATATTTTCTTTGATTGTGTTGTAAGATGACTAAATTGCTTGTTAAAAACTAGAGTTTAGCATAAATTGAAGCAGTCTGGTTTGAAATTGGCTTTTTTTTGGGGGGGGGTGTAATAGTAACAGAAAAGGTGACATAAAGCTTTCTGTCCACTGGTATCAATTGTGGTGCTGTACAATATTTTCCTGTTTACTGGAGCTATTAAGAACTGTGTCATAAGTCTTGAATAAGTTACTATCTAAACAGTTTCTAATATTAATGGTGGCCTCCCCGGGCACCCATCACAAAGAGATCTTCCTCCCCCCCCCCCCCCCACTCAGGCACTTGAGGATGCTTTTCTGGCCATTGATGCCAAGCTGACAACTGAAGAAGTGATCAAGGAACTAGCGCTGATGTCAGGGCGGTCTCGAGATGATGGTGATGAGAAAGAGGTGAAAGTAGCAGATGAAGATGATGGTGAGTGAAGCAGCAGTTTGCAGTCCAGTGCAGATAAGAGGCAAAAGCCAAGTAGGAGAAGGGGAGCTCTTTTACCAGCCTTGATGTATCTATATTCCACTGAGATTTAAAGCCTGAAAGTGGAAAGATGTCTGAGATCACGTTTGCTATGTTGTGCTAAATAAACAAGGAGAATTGATGTAAGCAAATCAAACCAGAGATCTGTCTCTGTCTCATTGGCTATGCCAATTTCAAGAGAGAACCTAGAGAAAACCAGAGCTCTAAGCCAGCATGGTGTAATGGGAATTGTAGTCCAGCTTCTGGAGAGCATCAAGTTTGCACTTACACACCCCAAACAGTTGCAGCTTGGTAAAAACAGTTCATATGCTTAGCAAAACTAGTGGCAGGCCTAGTCATAGTGGCTTGGGACCTGCAATTTATGGTGGGGAAAATAATTCCATCTATGTTTTTGGTATGTGGATGGATATTATATATGTGTAAAACTGTGTTTCTTTAGCCATAATGAATGACTCTTTTGAGCCATGATTTAAAAAAAAAAAAGCTGTAGGTAACTGGATGTATCACTGAGACTGGCTGCACTTTCTCCCCTCACACTCCCATGCAGTGGACAATGAAGAGACTGCTTTGCTGCATGAGGAGGCCGCAATGACTATTGAAGAGCTTCTCACTCGATATGGCCAAAACTGTGTCAAGGGCAAGCTGGGCCCGCCAAGCAAAGATACGACCCAGGAGGATGCCCGGGAGCCAAGTGTGAATGGTGAAGTAGATGCTGAGGAGCCTTTGAGGCATCATAGAGAGGGTGAAGAAGAGGAGAAAAATGGCAAATTGTGCTCTGAAACCATCAGCACCTCGCATGGTCCAGATGTGGCTGGTGGAGGGGATGCTGGTGCTTTCCAAAAAAAGACAGCTGAGGGAGCATCTCCTGCCACTGGTGAGGTGGAGCCATCCTGCTCGTCAGCAACCAAGAGCCAGCAGGTGATCAAGTCAATGTTCTTTGAGGACAGTGAAGATGAATCAGAGGATGCAGAAGAGGAGGAAGATGACGACAGTGAGGTACCATCATCATTTGGGCAGTGGGGGGAGGGGCATTTTGTCCTTCCATAGCTGAGCTGAAAAAGCAGAACTTAGCCTTCTTTACAGATGAAGGCTAAGAAGAAGAAGGTACCTCAGGTCCTGCATGCAGGACAGCAGCCAGAGCCATGGGGTCAATTTTATTTCTGTTATGGGTGGATGTATTACATTTTGATTAGGAATGCAGTGAGGATGAGGATAGCTACAGCAGTGAGGAGGAAGAATATGATACTGAAGAAGCAGAAGAGGAAGAAGATGAAGACATGATGCTTCCAGGAATGGAAGGCAAAGAAAAGGTCAGTGTTTGTACACAGTGAAGCAAGTGGGGAAGGAATTGGGGCACAGTGCTCTTTTCTGAGATTTGCTGAGCTTCTGTTGCTCTTGTCCTGGTTCTGGGGCCCACTCTTTCAGCCAGTCTTGTGCTTCAGCATGGGCTCTCCTCACAGTCCTCTTACTCTCCAGCCTGGCTCAGACAGCGGCACAACCGCGGTAGTGGCACTTATCAGAGGCAAGCAGCTAATAGTAGCCAATGCTGGAGATTCCCGATGTGTGGTGTCTGAAGGTGGCAAGGCTGTGGATATGTCCTACGATCATAAGCCTGAAGATGAGGTGGAGTTGGCCAGAATAAAGAATGCTGGTGGGAAAGTAACCATGGATGGCCGGGTGAACGGTGGTCTCAATCTCTCCAGAGCAATTGGTGAGTAAACATGTATGCATGTGCTAGAGTTATAGGCCAGTAGCCACCTATGGCAATGAACACCAAATCTCCCACTCACCTCTTGAATGGTCAATTTTCCGCATACAATCATTCAGTCTGCAGCCCCTTTTTCCCTGAAAAAGGAAGCTGTCTCTCCAGTCATCTGACCTGGAGCTATGGAAGTGCCATAAGTGCAAAGGAGAGGGAGTTATGTCATAGTATAAAGGAGAAGAAAATATATTATTTTTATAGTGCTTCTTGCTTGCTTGGTCACAAACCAAAAATCGCTCTGATCCAGCCTAAGGCCCAGCAAGTCAACACTTTCATTTTTAGCAATTGTCAGCAAACTGGCTTTTGAAAGCTCAAAAGCAAAGGCTTAAGACAACTTTCCCTATTGAATGTTCCAGCAACAGCGCTTAGAAACTAGGTCAGTGCTAAACTTTAAAGCTGGCTTAAGTGTGGACATGCCTATTCACAAGTATTGGCTTTAAACATAGGTAGGTATGGTTGATGCCATCTCTGACTTGGCCAAAAAAGTATAGCATAATGTGTGAATGTGGAATGTAGACCGAAGTAAGAATTTGTTTCTAGTAGTGAATTCTCTGACTAAAAGTGGTCTAAATGTTGTCGACATGGCATTTCAGATTAAATGGGTCTGCTTCTAGCCAGTCCATCTGCATTTGGAGTTATTTTCAAGAGGGTTTACTTTTATTTTCTATCTGTGGGTGGATGAAGCTCAAATTCCAGAATCACCTCATGAATATTTGACAGTAAGCCAGCTTGACCTGGCCCATCATGGAAGTGAATTCCAGCTGCTTGATTTGGAAGAAATGGAACGTGTAGCTAGCTGCTGGAAATCAGAAGTTAACTAAAAAAAACTGATGTGTCAAGGGTGTCTTTGTGTTTGACAACTGCCTTGGATGTTCTGTCACCTACTGGGGATTTTTTTAGTTAGTGTGTATAGCTCAGCTTTCTCCTTGTTTTGCTGCACTTTTCTCTAGAACAGTGAACCCTCACTCAGATAAATATTTTAAACATCCTTGTATCCTAGGAGATCATTTCTACAAACGTAACAAGAATTTGCCCCCAGAAGAACAGATGATCTCAGCGCTGCCAGATATCAAGGTGCTGACAATCAACGATGACCATGATTTTATGGTCATTGCCTGTGATGGCATCTGGTAGGTGGAAATTGAGCTTTGGGATAGAATCCTTGCTATGATAGTGGGATGAAACTTAGCTTCTTTCATTATACTTGAGGAGTAGAGGGTGCTAATAACCTGTACCAAGTCAAGACCTGGAGGAGAACATACTGCAAACCTGAGGGCAGGTTGGTGTAACTGTAACCTAGTCTTCCATTTGCTTTTCATGATCTCTCTCTTTTGCCCCTAATCCAGGAATGTCATGAGCAGCCAAGAGGTTGTGGATTTTGTTCAATCCAAGATCACACAGAAAGGTGAAAATGGAGAGCTGCGATCTCTTTCATCTATAGTAGAAGAAGTGAGTTGGAGAATGGGAGGCATGAAAGTTGAAATAAAGTATAGGCCTAGAAAAAGACTTACTTAATTCTCAGGTTTAGCAGATTTTTTTAGGATGTAAGACCTGAGTACTATTTGACATAGTAAGATTACCAGGCGAAATGATCTGATCAGGACTGTGAAGAGTTTCCCTTGGAAACCACTTCAGAATGTGACAGGCATGAACTCTATTTACTGACTGGGCTCCCAGTTGTGATTAAGCATAGGGAACCAAGTCATCTATCTTGATAACTGATTCCCTTCAGGAACTGAAGAATATTACAAGGTAATCACTAAGTTCCTAGTCCAATTCTAATAAATCTTATCCAGTTTACACAAAGATTCCCTCCTGCAGGCCTATTTACAGGCTGCCTGGCAGGGATAACTGAAATCAGCAGAATATTGCCTGAATTTCTCTACTCTTCAGTTTAATGAGTGTATGCTACAGCTGAATTTTATGCTGAATTTATTCTCCAATTTCTATCTAAACAGCTCTTGGATCGTTGTTTGGCTCCTGACACATCTGGTGATGGAACAGGCTGCGACAACATGACTTGCATCATCATCTCTTTCAAACCACACATCAGCCAAGGCTCCCCTGCTGAGAGCAGCAAACGGAAACTGGAGGATAGCACAACAGCAACCAGCCCCACAGAAGAGGGCTGTAGCAAGAAGGCCCGACAGGACTAGCAGCCAAGTTGGGTAGGGAATTGCCCATGCTCTCACTGGACTCTTGTTTTCTAAACAAAGCTGAACTTTTGATGCCTGTTTTAGGCCTTTTTTTATCCTTAGGGAGGCCCATTTTGTCTTTATCATTTGGAGGGGAGAAAAGGAATTAGGGTGGGTCCCACTGGTCTTTGAAACCATTCCAAAGAGTGAATGGCAGGGAGGGTCATAATCTGGCCCAGAAGGCAACCTACCTGCTCAAACTCTCTCTCTCTCTCTCTCTCTCTCACACACACACACACACACAGACCCCTGCAGCATCTCTGTATGGTTGTTGCCATTTCCGTGCCTGTGATTTTTCTGTTGGCAGGAAGCAGTTTTCCAATGTAGAGGTTTCGAAGCTGCACTTCTATTTAAGGCCTTCAATTTTTTATTTGTGGGACTGGTTGCCCCACCCCACCCCGCCCCACCCCACGGCTGCTAAGCCTCACTGTGTCATTCATTTTCAACTGAGATTTTTTTCAAACTAAAAACTAAAACTCTTATCAGTGACTGTGTACTTTTGTAAAATTGTGAGGGGAGGTAAGAAGAACTGAACCATTACGTAATTTACTGAGTCTGCAGTTTCTTCCCTTTCTCTTGCTCATTCCACGGTTTCTTCCCAATTCTAAAACCTTTCCAACTGTGAGTTCCATATCTATGACTTGCAGTGTCTTACATCTTGTCTTGCCCATGGAACCATTCGTCTAATCAAATATCTATTGTGATCTCCCTAGGAAGCTTGCAAACAAGACAGACATCCTGATTCTTGCTGTTTTTCCTGTGGAGAACTAGGTTTCTTTTCTCTGAATATGGGGGACCTAATCTTAGCTGCTTGTTAAGTTTTGAATGCAACCCTGTAAGTGATGAAATATAGCACTATATTTTACAATCATACATTTCAGTTGAAACTTGGAAAAAAAAGGTGGGAATGGGAGGCCACTGACAGGCAAATTGCTGGCTTCCATCACCACCCTTAAAACTCCCCAAGCCTGAAAACAGGTTGGGCGCTATTATTTAACTTTCCCCCAAATGAGCCAAAATTGTGGATGTCACTGGAATACCTCTTCCAGCAGGTAGCAGTCTGGCCCCATTGCAACCCATTGCAACTTGTTTGCCCTTTTGCCAAGGTACCTTTTTACAACAGCCTTTTTCAATTTTGTTGCATCTAATGTTCCTACGCTATAGATTTATATAAGAAAGGCTAACCCTAAATTGATTTTCTACCCACTTTGCCTCATTCCTATGGAATATAGGGTCATAACACTACCAGACACAGCATGAAATCCCTTCATCAGTTTCAATGTTGAGATGAAAGTTTGATTTCTGGAGACTCCTATTTACTTGCTACCTTAAGTGGAATAACAGCAGTTTTCCATTAGATTTCTGAGGAGTCCTCTATTTAAACTGTGACAAAAGTTTCTTAAGCAATCACTCAGATAAAACTAGCATGTTTAAGGTTTCAGGAATTTTATAGGAGCTTATTCTATAATAATGGCTTCCACAAGGACCTTGCTCCTTACTTAAAACCCTTTAATGCAGAGGTAGGAAATCTGTGATTCAGGAGGTCTAATCAATATGGCCAATTATGAGTGATGCTTGAAGATGTAATTCAGCATCGGGGAGATGAAAGTTTTCCGAAGCCACCTTTAATGGGAATCTGGCCTGACAGTTGGTCTCTCAGTGGTTATTCAGCAGTCTACCCTCATCTGACCAGACTTCTTCCCACCACCTAAATAGGTAAAGCATGGGGTTCCATCCCTATGTATTAAAAAGGGAGGATCCATTAGACTCCTCTGATAGCTGCTATTTATTGCCTTGAAGCACCAAAAGTCTCAGTCAAGTGGAAGGCAGAATGGGGGCTAAAAGATGCCAAGTGTCTGGGTAACAGAAGTGAGCAGTGATGAATCTTGCTTGGGCTGTAGGCAGGCTTGGCTTTCAAGCTGGGAGAGCTTGGATCTCCAGTCCATGGTGGCTTCCATGTGTTAAGTTGCTTTATTCTGTCATCACTCCTGCCAAACTGCAACCATCGCTTGTGTAGGTGAGAGAGTCTGCTGAAAAGCTGTGGCCTGATGCAGCACTACAGAGACTGTGCTCACAGGCAGCCTGTGGCTGAGCTTCAATCTCCACTTCCACTTCCACCATATTCAGGCCATCCCTGCGCAGGAGAAGAACAGTGCTGCTTGTGAGCCGAGTGGAATATGGCTCAGAAAAGCAGGGTACGAAGCTGTAATTCACGATGTTGCAAAATAAGGCAAACTGGGGAAGAACAGGAGTTATGTTTGTGTTTTTCTGCCCTCCACTCTACTGTATCTTGTTTCACGTAACCGAAAACAGAATGAGGGTGTCTGTCGTGAGTGAGTGAGAACTGTGGAGGTAGCAGGGAGATAGAGCCTCTCCGAAATTGAACTAGCAGCAGCCCAATGAAGCAGACCTGAGCCAAAACCTTCACTGCCTGTTCAATGGGTCTTCCTTCCCTGCTCTTCTGTTCTATCCAGAGACTATTCATAGGGAATAGCTTTGCTTGGGGCTCCCCCAACCCTTCTAAGTCCACTATACTGACCTGTGGGAAGTTTCTTGAGCTTCACTCAGCATGCTCCCTGCCAAGGCTACAGTGCTGGCAGACTGGCTGTTTCGATCCTTCTGGCATGGCTCTTCACGTTGGCTGTTACTGGAATGGGGGATGGAAGCAGAAGCCCCCTTCTCAGGCACCATGGGAGTAGGCAGCACAGCCAGCAATTCATTCACTGGTATGAAAAAAGAAAGGGTAAACATAGCAGCTTCTCCTCTTTTCTGGCCTCAAGAAATATCTTCACATATCTAGGTAACCTCTGCAAGCATCTCTTAATGGAAGCCTTGTTCCTGTGAAACCTAATAGAATAGAACTGCCTGCAACTGCTGCAAGTGTAGATTGAGCAAAATTTTCAAATGGTACTAAAAAAGAAGAGGAACAAAAGGGTCTGTGGTCACACACAGTTTTTTTAAAAGTTCATAAATTCTAAATATTAAATACCAGTTTTAGAAAGCTGCTCTGTTGGGGTATCTGAGCTCTTTGCTGCTCCCATCTTTTAGCAATTATAGACAATATTTATCAGCATGAGATACTAGTATCTGCTTGCTGTTTGATAGAGAGAACAACCTGAAAGTTTGGGGAGTTCCCAAGACATTCCTTGATTATTTAAAATAATTAATAGGAGAATCAGTTTTGAGTTTTCTGGGCCAACTAGAACAGAAGTGGCATTTTAGGAATCCTTGCTTTGTAATCCAATGGGTCAGTTAAAGTGGTTTTCACACAAGCCTCTTTTGCTGTCAGCATTAGTGCATCTCCAAATTACTGACAATGTTTTCTGTGCACATTTCTTGGGAGAGCTGTCAAGACGAAACAGACAAGGGTTGCAACTCAACAGGAATGATAATGGTATGGCATTTCTGAAATAGTACTGAATAATGCCAACTATACAAAAACACAGGCAAACATTCTCAAAGACTTGAGAGCTTAGTGGCTTTCATTCACTGATAACTGAATTTTGTAGGAACAGACCACCTGAGGGTCAGATAGGAAGCTGTAACATAACTTAACAAACTGACACGACATTGTTCTTCAATAAACAAAACCAAGTGAGATATTCCATTACCAGAATGGCTGCAAAACTAAGATATTGTTCCGGTATAATACCACTGGAACCTATATTTATTTATTTATATTTCAAATTTAGTCACCGCCCATCTCACTCAAAGAGCGACTCTGAGTATATGTAGTTCCAGGCCAAGCAGGTTCAGAAATATTGGACTGATGTATCTGCCAATGTAGGTTTTTTTCCCTCCTAAGTGTAAGTACTTTAAAATGAGGCATCAACTTTCTAATTGCACAATTAGAGTAAGTTATTTTATGGAAGGAGGTTTAAAGGGCAAAGGCAAGAATGCATTATATGAGGGCAATGTGATGTGATCCTTGGACTAGACTTCTTTGCCTCTCTGACTTCAGCACAACCCACAACAACTCACGTACATTTGGCGAGGTTCTCCAGTTCCACTGTGTTGAGCTCCCCAGCCTTCCTTCGGGAGCTTCCACACCCCCAGCGATTCCGGCACAGAGAGAGTACCACGACCCCATACACGTAGGTGAGCATCAGGGGCACACCCACCCCTGCAGGCAAAGAGCCTGTTATAAGAACCACCTCCGTTCAAGGACCATTCATACAGCCACGCAATTCACGAAGGGCAGAAGAATTCCCTTTCAGTGTGAAAGCAAAAAAAAAAACATCTTGTGGCTCCACATGCACCCTCCCATCTCAGTCTCCTTGTGGCTCTTACCAACAGTGACAGCTGTGATGACAGGGGACACAAAGAGAGAGAGGAGAATGCTGCTGGCAACAGAAAGACACTGCTGGCAGCCTGACAGTTTGCTCTTGCGCCCATGGCTCAAAACCTGGAGAGGAAGGAAAGAAAGAATGGTAAGAGGTCTCCAGAAAAAGTACTTTTTGGCTTGGCCTGAGCCACATTTCCCATGAGCCTACAATAATATCCTGTGCACGTTTTATGGGCCTCTGTCATTCCGAAATGCAACAGACTCCTTACCTTCTTCCCTGTGTAAATGGGTATACCCAGAGTGATGACCGGCACTGCAATGCCAGCAACAAGCGAGATCACCATTGGGGCACCCAACACCATGCCCAGCTGCCATAGGAGCTTCCGGGTCCCAGACCAGGGCTTCTTTCCCCAAAAAGTGCAGCCAGAAGGACTGAGGAGAAAACAGGAATCAGTTGTGAAGACGGAGGGATACTCAAAAGCTACGAACTGCAGATAACATTAAATTTTCCTGCTAGTTGGCACAGGGCTTGCTACTATGCATTTCCAAAGCAGTCACTGCAGCTTCAAAGAGTCAGGAAGTTGGTCAGGGCTATTTCTGAAAACCAAAGTCCCATCCCCAGAATTGCAGGGCAAGCATGCTCACGGAAACAGGTCTTCAGGAACTCCATCATGTTTCCTACCTAATCTATACTGGACTTAATCTAGCCCAATCTCTTTTTGCGTTCAAGTATGTAAAAGTTGTGATACTCACTCATCTAGGAGAGAAGCATGAAGCCTGTTTCAGAAGTTCAAGGCTTTCTGAAATTCTTAAGTTCATGAAATATTCTTTAGCTATTGCCAGTAATTTTTATTTATTGTTCTCAGAATTCTACTGAAGTTGTTACCCACTTAACTGTTTTTGATATACTCTTATAATTTGTTGTAAATGTCTATATGCCACTATGCGGGCCTTTCTACGGTAGAATAATGATAGGTAAGTTTAATTTATGGCATATTTATAAACATAATTTTTAAATTGGTATGTCTGTATAAATAAATGGTGCCCTGGATTCTAAGTCATCATAAAACATTCTCTGCCTTCAATGGCTCATCTTATCCATACCTATATAAGTATATAACTTAATTCAGTGAGGCTTACTCCTCCATAAGTAGATATGGGATGGCAATCTTTTCATCTAATCCCCACTATCCAAAGTGCCTTCTTTGAGCACCTATAGTTTATTTCCATCTCTACCACGCCCCTGATCTGCAGCTCCATTCCCTGAAGGTCCTGATGGGAGTAGCAGCCTGAAGTGGCCCTGGCCCACTCCATTTCCCTCTGCACATGCGGTACCTGAGGAAATGCACATCCGTGATTTCTTGCATGCAGAGCCAGCAGAAAAGGCAGCCACAGACGGTGCAATTCATACGATTACAGCTCCCATCGTTGATCTTCATGATGAAGGCACCACAGCGGGGACAGACCTTGATGGCATCAGGGTCTGTGGAAAGCAGAGAGAAAGAAGAAAACAGGGCCTAACCTATGCAGCTATTCCAGGCCCTGACAGACTTATTTTTAGGGCCAGAGATATGAGGGCACTGGCAGAAAAGATGCAGGCAAGGAAAGCTGTGAGAAGGTGCTGTGAGAAGGCAAGGAGGCACCGTTGCATCAACTCACTGTGGGCTGCTTCCTCTTTCCAGATCAACTGTGTGGAGAGTTCCATAGCTCCCAGGGGGCTCTGCTGCTTCCACTCCCGCCAGGCCTGCTCACAGGAGGAGTTGGGGTGCCAAGGCTGCCGGCAGTGGTAGCAAAATTCTGTCTTGCAGTCCTGACGACCACAAACAAGCCGGGGGCATTCAGCACAGCCATATGCAATGACAGCATAACTGGAGAAAGAAAAAGAGTAGGAACTCGGCTCAGGAACTCAGTAGCGCTCACAGAATTCACTCTGCTAGCTCAAGCTTTATTTTTATTTATATCTGACCTTTCATTCAGCAGTTGAAGGCAACATACACAGGGCTCCTTCCTCCCATTTTCCCTACGACAACAACCCTGTGAGCTAGGTTGGGCTGAGAAACAGGGTGATGGGCCCAAATTTACCCAGTAAGTTTCCAGGGCTAAGGATGGACTAGAACCAGGGTTTATACCATACTGGTTCTCTAAGCTTTGATATTTGCTCTTTTATTATTTATTAGTTATAAATATAATTTATATGGTTGCCCTTCTCCCCAAAGTGAC